ACCAGCACTGAGCTTTAGTGACCCTCATGCAGTTGTCCTCAGCCACTGATCCAGTCTGTCCAGGTCTCTCTGTAGAGCTTTCCTACCCTCAGGCAGATCTACACTCCCACCCAATTTGGTGTCATCTGCAAATTTACTAAGAGTCACTCAATCCTCACATCCAGATAATCACTAAAGACGTAAACAGGACCTGCCCCAACACTGAGCCCCGGGGAACATCACTGGTGACAGGCTCAAGTGGATTTAGCTCCAAAATTTAGATCTAAAACCCATTTGGCTTGGTCCATATCTTATTTATAAATGTTTGTAAGGTCTCCTCTGTGGGCACACTTTGAAATCTTGGAAACTTTTGAAGGAAGAGTTATGGGAATTAAGTAAACACTAGCAGTCAGATATTTGCCTTCTGCAGCAAAATTAGGATGCTTTCTGTAACTTCCCCTTGGCACAGCAAACAGTACAAATAACTGATGAGATTCTTCAGAAGCTCTCATTGCATGTAACATTGATTTTATTTTTTTTGTCTTTAATTTTCTACTAGTGTTAAATATACCTTTGGTATTTTACTCTAGTGAGAAGCAACTGGAGTGTTTGCTGACACACTGCATCAAAGTGCCGATGCTTGTCCTGGATCCTGCACTGCCTCCCAACCTCACCCTGAAGGACCTGCTGTCCATTCATCCTGCTTTACAAGCTGCTAACAATATGTTCTTTGTAGCAAAACCAAAAAACCCTTCTACTAATGTGACAGTAATAGTTTTTGATAGCCCTAAGGATGGTAAGAACCTCTTTGTTCAGAGTCCTTGCAAAGTTCTAGAGGAAGTTTTTTAGTAAGCTCCTGTGAATTAGTTTTGGGGTTGTTTTTTCTTTCCCCTCTGATACCGACTGTGCTGCTAAGTTTCTGTTTGACTTTAGCAAGTCATTCAGTCTCTCTTGCCCTCAATCTGTTCCTCTAATGATGACATTAGTGATACTGTTTGCTTACCTCACAGACAACTGATTACAGATGATTAGAGCTCCATGCTTTAAAAGACTATTGCAAAACAGGTTTGATATCTATCTGTGTTGCGCTGATAATCTCAGAAGGCTGAGGTTTAGAATGAGGAAGATTAGTTTTAGAAATCCTCTTTGAATTGCTGTGAAGTCTAGTTTGAATATTGTGCAAAAAGTTCTGCCCTAACTTGAAGGATTGCACACTGTAAAACAGAACTGTTCATGTGTTCAGGATGTACAAGTAAGGTCTCAGAGGAGCTATAGACTTCTTACTTGGTTTAATATATAGTGCCTGACCACTTCCATCCACTAGACCAATCACTGATGTTCATTTTACCACCAAAAATTATTTGCCACTTGCAAAACAACTCTTCACACCATAAATATTCAAGTCTTTTTAATTGCAAAACATGTATCTTGGTTATTAGAATATACAAAAGAAGTGACTTTCAGTTTTTGATTTGCAATGTGTTTTCTGTATTCTAGTTGAAGCTGCCCATGCTGGAATGATAAAAGACAACAGCAAACACATAGTATGGAGAGCTTACTTGGTATGTGCTTTTAGAATCTGTTGATTAGCTTTTCATAGGGTCACAGAATTTTAGGGGTTGGAATGGAGCTTAGAGATCATCCAGCCCCAACCCCCTGTCCTGGGCAGGGACACCTCCTCACTACATCAGGTTGTTCAAAGCTTCATCCAACCTGGCTTTGAACACTGCCAGGGTTGGGGCAGCCACAGCCTCCCTGGGCAACCTGTGCCAGTGTCTCACCACCCTCACAGGGAAAACTACTGCCTAATATCTAACCTAAATTTCCCTCTTTCAATTTGTACCCATTGCCCCTTGTCCTGTCCCTGCAGCTCCTAACACAGATCCCTCTGCAGCTTCCCTGGAGCCCCTTCAGCTCCTGGAAGGTACTCTGAGGTCTTCACACAACCTTCTCTTCTCCAGGCTGAACAGTCCCAAGTCCCTCAGCCTGTCCTCACAGGGGAGATGCTCCAGTCCTCTTAGCAACTTCGTGGCCTCCTCTAGACTTGTTTCAGCCTAAATTTCCCCTCTTTCAGAATGTCCCTTCTTCTCTGTGTTCAACATTCTGTACATTTTAGAACCTTTCTGTGCTTTTCTCTTTCCATAGCTCACACGTAGTCAGAAGTGAAAACTTTTAAAACAACCCTTATTGTAATGTGAATTATTGCAAGTTATAAAAGGTCTTTATAACCTGTTTTCTTTTTTTTAGACTACAGACAAAGAAGTTCCAGGTCTAGTATTAATGCAAGACTTGGCCTTCCTTAGTGGGTTTCCAGCTACATTCAAAGAGACAAATCAGCTGCGAACGAAGCTGCCAGAGAGCCTATCTGCTAAAGTAAAGCTGGTAAGGGTCTGGAGGAGAGAGCACCTTAGTTGTACTGGTCTCTTGGAATGCTTCCCATATGGGATCACACACCTAAGAGACTTAGGATGTTCAGTCAGTCCTGTGTCACCTGTTAGTGCTGGTTCCCTTTTCCTTGGTGTGTTCTTATCTTTGCCACTGTGATCCACTCATTATCTGTTCCTAAGAACTCCTCTTCTGCAGTTTGGTTAGGCATATCTCTGTATAAACACAGTTTTTCTCAGGTATTCACAACATTCTTCAGTTTCCCTTTACAGTCAGGTTTGCTGTATGCGTTGCTTTTCCTGGTGGTGGATGCTTTAGAGCAATTAAAATTGAGGTTGTTGTACCCCATGTGGTCACAGCAGTGAATTCTTTCCCAAACAGTTCTCTACTCTTGATAGTGACACTTCATGTATGCTACACTTACAGTGCAATATGTGTATATACATGTAAGAAAGGTTTTATTTGCAAGCATAAATTGTTTTACACATAAAGTGTAATGAGGTTGTTTCTTACAGAAGCCTTTGCTAAGATCCTAGATCAGAGTCAGTTCTTCTTTCAGTGGATGTTGCAGGTAGGCAGTTATGGTACACATAGCCAAATGTGGTTTGCTGCTTGCCAAAGAGAGAGATGCTAGGTTAATGCTGCAGTTCAGTAGGAGAAAGATTGGTTGTCTGCAGTCTCCACTGAAATTTCCATTAGTTCCTCTGTTGTCATTTCTGCACTCTGAGGTCCCTGAAGTGACATGTGATACCTGGTGGAGAGGAGGGAAGTTGCATCTGAGTGTAAACTAGACTTGTGTCACATAGATGCCTCCTGATACTTAGTGGGTTTCTCTAAGTGGCTGTTTCTTAGTACGATTCTGGAAGTAAAGAAATAAGAATCAAACCTTTCAACAATGCTGCTGTTAGAAGGGAAGGCAGGTGAGAAAGGGAGGAGTGTTGCTCTCAGTGTGTTTGTGCTAAATGTTGCATTGCTTTACTTTGATTGAATAGAACTTCTGAATCCAAAGAGGACCAAAAATTGCTCATACATCTGGGCCAGGTGTTCTTTTTACAAATCTCTGAGAAAAGCACCTGAACTCAATTAGAGGTGGTTAAAATACGGAGGTTTATGATACAATGGGTCCATTTCCAAGGTGAATTATGCCTGTTATGGTCTGCTGAAGTTTGTACTTACAGCCTGCAGTGCAATGCAGTGATCTTGGTGTTTATTTACAGCAGTGTCTGCTGGTCACATCTGTTGTTCTGTGTTGTGTGTGTTATGACAGAAGGGGTTGAAAATTTGGCTGCTTTGGATTGTCTGTGCTTTCTTAGCCGAGTGTCAGGAAGCCACTAGATGGAGGTGTTACTCTGCTGTGCTGCTGAGCCGTTCCTGTAGCGGCTGTGGGGACCTGGTGTTGGACCTGTACATGAAGAACAACTGAACATTTTGTTTTCACTTTTCCCCCGTAACTACATTTCTAAAGAATACTGTTGTTCATCCTAAAGAGACACTTGAGACTTGAAAACTAGGTCATGATATCAAGACTGACGAGGGAAGGATTGGCAGGGTGAGGGGATTTGATTTGTTTGGGTTTGGCTTTTTGCTGCTCTCATGCTAACAGTTTTTCACTGAAATTCTAGACAGTAGTGAAAATTTTTGGAGAAAGGTGATTTTCCTTCAAGCTTTAATATTCTGATTGCCTCAAAGACAACTGAGAGCTTGCAGATCTCCCTCTTTGCAAGATACTGCCTCCTTTAATACACATGTACAAACATATACACAAAAATGGACAAGTTATGCTAGAAACTAAGGGCTGTATTAATAACCTTGTTTTACTAATGGAAGAAAATCCACGTGGGAACCAGCAGGCACAGTGATGCTGAGTGTTTGCTGTCCTCACTGTCTTGAGGAGTGGGGGTCTAGGATTCTTATTGCTGCTTGTCAGTGTTGCTGGAGCGCACAGGTGGCTTCAGGAGTTGTGTGCTCATAGAATCGTAGGATTTTTGGGGTTGGAGAGATCATCCAGTGCCAAGCCCCTGCCCTGGGCAGGGACACCTCCCACCAAAGCAGGTTGCTCAAGGCTTCATCTAACCTGGCTCTGAACACTGCCAGGGTTGGGGCAGCCACAGCCTCCCTGAGCTAACACAGCACATATGATGTAGTCTTTTTTTGATTTGTAATATTCTAAGCACAAACAAGAAGGAGCAGAAAAATGTTCTCCACTGGCTCAGTCTCAGAGCTAAGATAACACCTGCACTGAATATATTACTTTTATTACATCAGTGTTGAGGTTTTTTCCAGTAATGCCTTTGTTAACAAACTAGTCTTCTCCTAAGCAGAGCCATCAGTAAAGTGAGATTTCATTGAAGTTATCTGGTGACATAACTACCTAGATTCTAATAAATTGCAGGCCATCTTCTGAGCATTTTGGTGCTGTTACACTCAAAATAGAATTCTGTCCTGGCAGATTTTCTAACGTGTCACAGGGATTAACCTCTTCACAGTAGAACTGCATGGGGTCATCCATTCCCTTGAAATATTCCCTTCCAGAGAACATCTTCATCCTGCCAAAACAGGTCAGCAGGTTCAAAGGTATTGTAAAAACAGAGCAGAAGAAGAAGCAGGCAGATGCAGTGACTGGGTGAGCCTCTCTAGCAGTTGAAGGCTGAAAACACTCTGCAGGCACAAGCCCAGACCACCACTGGTGCACGTTTTTGTCACATCCAGGAAAACTGCATTCCCCCACCAGGTAACATAAATGCAGGTTCTCCTTTGGAGTCAGCATGTTTGGCAATGCTGACCAATGCAGCCTAGGAGAGAGGCCAGATGAGCTCAGACACCCCATGCAGAAAAAAATACCTTCATGTCCATTTTCTCAAGGTTAAGAGGCTCCAAGAGCAGTTTTTCCTCTGAGGTAGGACTTACACTCTTAACCAGTCTTTAAATTATTATGTTTTATCTTTCTAACGACCAAACCTGATTATTAAGGAAAGGAGATGCTCCTTTTTTCACACTCCAGTATGGATATCGGGAAAACTCCTATGCCCACACAGCAAGGGACAGAGGTTGTGTTGTGTTAAAGAGTTACAAAAAACTTTACAAATCATTTGTGTTGACAAATATCTCTAGTTCCCATTATAAGGTGACATAGTAGGAGAGTCATCTCTGAGCCAAAATTAATGCAAGGCCTTAGGTTTATTTCTACAAATCTTCCTTACCTCATCTGTGTGACCATGGCAGTGTTCAAAGCCAGGTTGGATGAAGCCTTGAGCAACCTGCTCTGGTGGGAGGTGCCCCTGCCCAAGGCAGGGGGCTGGGACTGGATGATCTCTAAGCTCCATTCCAACCCCTGAAATTCTAGGTGGAGACCTCATAGCAACTTTTCAATACCTGAAGGGCCTACAAGGGAGCCGGAGAGGGACTCTGTGTTAGGAACTGCAATGATAGGACAAGGGGTAACGGGTTCAAACTGAAGGAGGGAAACTCTAGGTTGGATGTGAGAAAAAAGTTTTTTTACTCTGAGGGTGGTGAGACACTGGCACAGGTTGCCCAGGGAGGCTGTGGCTACCTGGCGGGGTTCAAGGCCAGGCTGGATTAGGCCTTGAGCAACCTGATCTAGGGAGGAGGTGTCCCTGTCCAGGGCAGGGGTGTGGGACTGGATGATCTGTAAGGTCCATTCCAACCCCTAAAATTCTATGATTCTATGATTAGTGGGGGGAAAGGGGAAGTGTTTGTAATTAATCCATTTAGGAGTCTGTAGTACAGGTTCGAATTTTCTGGGTTTGGTGGCAACAAGTTAAAGAGAAGCTACATGTTCTTAAATGCTTTCCAAGCTCTAGAATGGTAATATTTTTGGTTTGTTACATGCATGTTTTGAATGACAGGTTCGGAGGGACTGTGTGACACTGTTGTATTCCTAAATAAAGCACAGGCCCACTGCTGGCAGCTCTGCAATCCGGAGCATTTCACCGCCGATATTTTGGGCAGTTGCTGGCTGCAGTCCGTAACTATACCTCAGCCATTTAGCTGCTGGAGCCATCCTTTCCACCCCTAGGTTCAGATGATTCCCTGGAAGGTCTGAGATTTATCAGATTTTTCTAATGACAGGCCTCATAAGTCAGATTGAAAGCTCTCAAATAGCATATGAGTCAAAGCATCAACAGCTTTGAAATGTCACAAGCAGAACAGCTGGTCTTCCTGAGGGAAGGGCTGCGAACTCTGGGACAAGGGGTATTTCAAAGTGAGCAGAAAGGATCAGATTTAACAAAAAATAAAGAAATAAAACCACCTACAGGTATTATGAATGAAGCTCTGATGGTTTTGCTGTTTTGGAACATGATGTTATTCAAATTTTGATCACTTACAAATTGCATTTACAGATCTTATGCAAATGAAAATCTGGTCGATGTAGTTGTTTGTCTTAGGTTGCCTGAAGGGATAAAAATTAAGCATAGCATCAAATAAATACTGTTAATGATTTATTCCCAATCAGCCTGTGGAATGGAGCACTTGGAAAATCTTGATTGTGCCCGCTCATGCTGCTTCATAAGCAGCATTTGATTGGGTTATGCTCTGTTACTGGGGAGATGCTTTGGTGCCCTAGAACTTGTGAGCTGTACAAGCTGTTAGAGAGGGTGAGCAGTGCGAGCCCCTTCTTATCCTGTGCATTATGAAATCTGATACACAGACTTAGTGGTGGCAGGAGATAAAAACAGCAAACAGATCAAACAGTGCACAGCTAAGAAATGACATTAACAGCATATTGGCAACTATCATTAAGGACTTGGAGACCCACATGGATTAGGTTTGGAGCCCTATGGATCTCAGATTTCGGAGCTGTAGGTTGAACTGACTGTAAACCATGCTGAAAATTTCATGCTTCTGACAGCAACAATACATTGGTGCCCTTCATTTTCTGGAGGATCATTGGTTGGTTAAGACTGGGGAAAAAAGGATGATTCTTTCAGTCATATAATAAAGTTGTGATAAGATGTGAATTTTGTTATTGGGTGGGAGAGAATTAGCGGGGACTTATTCCTTACTCCAGAAGTATTTATAACAGGAACAGCTTTACTGTTGCTGGATCACTGTGTAAAGAAATTTTCTTTGCAAAGTGAAGATACAGCATCTAGAATTGTTCTGTATCTGTATGTGGTTTTCATTTCCCCTTTTACCACTGCTTTTCATGTTCTTACACAATTGGAGCTCTTTAAAAACAGTGCTTCCCAGTCTTCTTAGTAGGAGGTCTAGGAAGAAAAATCCAACAAAAAGATGGAATTGGCAAAGGAAGAGTGCTGCGGGGGATGCATGCCAGGAGTTATTTTCTCTGCTTGTCTAGTTGCAGCTCTATTCCGAAGCCAGTGTGGCTCTCTTGCAACTGAATAACCCCAAGGGTTTCCAAGAACTGAGCAAGCAAGCAAAGAAGAACATGACTATAGATGGGAAAGAACTGATCCTTAATCCTGCTTATTTACTCTGGGACCTCAGCTCTGTCAGTCAGGTGGGTAAATTCTGCTACAGCATTTCAAAACTGCAAGTAGAGGCTAACTAGTCAATGACAAGGAGTGTGAGATTTCTTCTAGAAGCTTGGAAGTATTAAGAATCACAGAATCGGTTAGGTTGGAAGGGACCACATTGGGTCATCTGGTCCCACCTCCCTACTCCAGCAGGGCCAGCCCAGTGCACATGGCTCAGGGTTGTGTCCAGATGGTTCTGGAATACCTCCAGGGAGGAGAATCCATGACCTCTCTGGGCAATCTGTTCAGTGCTCAGTGATTCACACTGAACCAAGTATTCAGTTGTAAGAGGACATCCCAAGAACACTGTCCAGTCCTCAAACCAAGGAGGAAGAAAGCTTAAACAGTGTGACATTTAATTGAAATTTTCGTGTTCTCTGCTGAGTGGAAAATTTTGCTCTCTGCACATGTTCTAATGTTGCTGCATACATTGTGTGCAGTCAAGCCCTGAAAGGCTTAACTGAAACTGACTGGCAGATGAGCAGTCTTCTTGTGTGGAGGGGATCGAGGGGTTTCATTATTTGTTTTAGGCCATGAAGCCGATAAGAGGACTGGAGCACCTTTCCCTATGACGACAGGCTGAGGGAGTTGGGGCTGTTCAGCCTGGAGAATAGAAGGTTGTGTGGAGACCTCAGAGCACCTTCTAGGATTTGAAGGAGCTACAAGGAAGCTGGATAGGGTTAGAAGTTGCAGTGAGGACAAGGAGCGATGGGTAAAATTGAAAGAGGGAAATGGAGACCTCAGAGCACCTTCCAGGATCTGAAGGGGCTCCAGGGAAGCTGCAGAGGGACTCTGTGTTAGGAGCAGTGACAGGACAAGGGACAATGGGGACAAATTGAAGGAGAGGAAATTTTGGTTAGAATTTAGGCAGAGGTTTTTGCTGTGAGGTTGGTGAGACACTGGCACATGTTGCCCAGGGAGGCTGTGGCTGCCCCAACCCTGGCAGTGTTCATTTTTTTTAGCCTTGAGCAACCTGGTGTGGTGGAAATTGTCCTTGTCCAGGGCAGAGGGTTGGGTCTGGATGATCTCTAAGCTCCATTCCAACCCCTTAAATTCTAGATGGAGATCTCATAGCAATTTTTCAATATCTGAAGGGCCTACAAGGGAGCCGGAGAGGGATTCTTGGTTAGGAACTGCAGTGAAAGGACAAGGGTTTAATGGGTTCAAACTGAAGGAGGGAAAGTCTAGGTTGGATGTGAGAAAAAAGTTTTTTACTGTGAGGATGGTGAGACACTGGCACAGGTTGCCCAGGGATGTGGTGGCTGCCTTGACCCTGGCAGTGTTCAAGGCCAGGCTGGATGAGGCCTTGAGCAACCTGATCTAGTGAGGAGATGTCCCTGCCCAGGGCGGGGGTTGGGACTAATGATCTGCAAGGTCTATTCCAACTCCTAAATTCTATGATTCTATGATCCAAGAACTGGGATCACCAAGGCACTGCCCCCTTGCAGAGCTAGTCAGCAGACTCCTTGTGATACCAGGTGACCAGCCAGTAGTGTTGGAAGATTGCTCTGTTCATCTTGCTAGTTCAGAAGAACATGATCCTGCAGAATAATGGTGCTTGATCCACATGCTTTTTTGGTTTTGAGTGCTGAGCCCTGAAGTGTTTTTGCACCCCTGTGCTCAAGCATACTGTTCCCACCTGTCTGGAGCAGAACTTGAGTGCTCCATTTCAAATCTTCAGAAAGGACTTTTGTCTTTTTTTGTAGTCCAAACAGGATGAAGACATTTCTGCCAGCCGTTTTGAAGACAACGAAGAGCTGCGATACTCCTTGCGCTCCATAGAGAGACACGCGCCCTGGGTGCGGCACATCTTCATCGTCACCAACGGGCAGATTCCTTCGTGGCTTAACCTGGATAACCCCCGGATAACTATAGTGACACATCAGGTAAAGCCCAAGCAAAAAGGCCTCACCAAACCCCCAAAGAAAAATAGCAGTATAGAAGTGCCACTAGTAAAGAGACTGAAATGCAGTTATGCACTTTCAGCTAAATGCTGCGTTTACTTGGAACAAGTGACAACTTCTTCCTTGTCTCATCCATGGTTTTTGTCTTTGTGTTTTGGCTAAGCAGATAACTGACTATATATCAAGCCTTGATTTAGTCCACTTTTCCAAATATTGGGACTTCAACTAAAATATACCCATGTCCAATTTCCTTTTAGAATCTATTTACAAAAATCCTGAGGAGAAGAAAATGTCGTCTCAAACCATAAACACTCTCAGAGCCAGGAATAACCTGATAAGCTGGTGTTGAAACCAGATGGATAGCAATTACTGGGGCTAAGGAGATGGCTAAAAACCCCCACAAAAGTAGCTATGCACTCTAGTAATGTTATTTATAAAGAGAAATGGAATCCTTCAAGCTCCTGAATAGGTGGAACTAAAATACTATAGGAGCTTATTATGGTTTCAGGAGGCATTTTGGTATTTTGACATACCCTAGGAGCTCTGAGCAACCGAAGTGGTAACGAGATACTAATTCAACTTCTATTCCTGTCTACTGGTGAAGTTACTGGAAAGAGGTGGGACAATTCAGACTTTCTGACCGCTGGAACAGGTTCAGTTTGCTGGGAATTCTGTGCACTCTATACTTCATGAGAATTTAAATGTGTGCACTGGGCCTGATCCAGCACTCAGTGAAAGAGGAGTGTGAGAGATTTTTTATCTTTGTTTTGAACCAGGTGCAGTTTCTTACTTAAGCAGCAGACTTGGAAATGGGCTTGTGTGGGGAAAAGGAGATATTGAAGTTGTTTTTCTAAAATATTTTTACTTTTTTCCTTCATATCTCTCCTTGTTAATTTTTTTAGTGTGAAATAATCTGGTGTGTCTGGCCTTTTATTGGTTTGAGCATTTTCACATATTTTTGCCTTCTGAAACTGTTTGGATTGTTGCTTTTCTGTTCTAGGAAATCTTTCAGAACGTGAGTCACTTGCCTACCTTCAGTTCACCAGCCATTGAAAGTCACATTCACCGTATCAGTGGCCTTTCACAGAAGTTCATTTACCTCAACGATGATGTTATGTTTGGGAAGGATGTTTGGCCTGATGACTTTTACAGTCACTCAAAAGGTCAAAAGGTAAGTCATTATAGAAAGAGATTTTTACCAGAAGTAGATGTATAACTTTTCTATGCTAATGTAATAAAAATCAAAGAAATGCTACTCTGAAATACTCAGTCTTTGAACAAAACTATTCTCAACAACTAGTGTTAAGCAAGGAAAGCAGGCTGAGGAAACATCAGCAACAGGTGCAAAGATTCTGGTTGCCACATGTTTTTGTCCTTGAGCTTCATGTATGAGAGTGATGTGGAGGAAAAAAGCAGAGATTGCTATCTGTAATTTCTATCAGAGCAGTGAGTACCCAAGGCACTAGAGAGCACTGAAGTATATAGTTCTTGCAGGCAGATGTGCACACTTGTGCAGAAACTTGTTTCCCACCTGGAATACTGCACACGGTTCTGGTGTCCTCAATGTAAGAAGGACATGGAACTGTCAGAGCAAGCCCAGAGGATGTCAGGAAGCTGCTAAGAGGATTTGAAGCATCTCCCCTATGAGGACAGGCTGAGGGAGTTGGGGCTGTTCAGCCTGGAGAAGAGAAGGTTATGTGGAGACCTCAGAGCACCTTCCAGGATCTGAAGGGGCTCCAGGGAAGCTGCAGAGGGATCTGTGTTAGGAGCTGCAGGGACAGGACAAGGGACAATGGGGACAAACCGAAGGAGGGAAATTTAGATTAGATCTTAGGCAGAAGTTTTTGCTGGGAGGTTGGTGAGACACTGGCACAGGTTGCCCAGGGAGGCTGTGGCTGCCCCAGCCCTGGCAGTATTCCAAGCCAGGCTGGATGAAGCCTTGAGCAACCTGGTGTGGTAGGAGGTGTCCCTGCCCAGGGCAGGGGACTGGGGCTGGATGAGCTCTACGGTCTTTAAATTTCTGTGAAACACAGAAGTGTTGTGCAAAATGAGCTTAAGGTCCACTAAAACACCTGTTTCAGTACTTGAGGGTATGAGTAGGCTTTATATGCTTTAAATCTGTAAGGAAGTCGGCATAGAACTGCAAAATCTCATTGTTACTTGTTTGTTCTTCAGTTATTCATCGCAGTGATGATGATCAAGTCAGCTTAGGTGCAGCATTGTTTGTGCCAACCTGATCAGCAAGTGTCTCAGTAGGAAATGTGCTGCCAAAATCTTGAAATATTAAGGCCTGAAGGACAGTGTGTGTGGTTTTTGCTGATTCCCCAGCTGAAAATACACATACCCACAGACTTTTTTTCATTCTGCCAGTTCTTAGCATTATCTAAGCCATAGAGGATCAGATGATTCAGGGATTATGTTCAACACATGCTGCTTATCTCATGACTGGTTAGTAGTGAAGAAACATTTTGAGACAGGAAAACAAGTGAACTGCAGAGCTAGTTCAGAGTTTAAGTTCACTGGTTTTATCTGACAGAAAATATTAGTTTTCATTGGAGGATGGTTTGCAGATTTGCAAAGTCTTGTTTTCTGTTTCTGGCCATGGCTGTTTTGCTGTGTGGCCATGGAATTCTTCAGTTCTTCCTTCTGTTTGAAAGGCATAACATTTACTTCATAGAATCATAGAATTTAGGGG